CCGCGGGTACGGAGCGGCCGGGCCTCCACGGCGACACAGGGCAAGGCAGGCGGTGTCCGGAGACTCCCCCTCAGCGGGCTCTGCTGGGGCAGGCCAACCCCAGGGTTTGCGTTTGGGTGTTCCCGGAAAGGTGTCCTGATCTACTGAAGGAGTTTAGGAGCAAGGAGCTTCTGTAGGCAGGTCCTGTCTGAGCTGCTGGCAAGTTCTGACTGGTGATCTCTGTAAGAGTGCAGTACGTTTGGCAGTGGTTAAAAAGTGTGATCGTTAGTTTTGTTGCTTTGTCATCTCTTGTTTTATCCTCCCCACCCTCCGAGGATCCAATTAAAAGCAAAAGTGTCTTTCTGCTTTTTCTGTGCGGGCTGGATCAAACCTGTTTGTGGTTGTGAGCAGCGAGGAACCTGGTACAGGTTATTATTTATTCTTATTTCTCTCATGAGAACACAACAGCATCACCACAGCTCACAGGCTGCACCTTCACTGTGTCAGCTTTTACATGTTTTGTGCTAAGCCTTGGCTAGAAGGATTAAATCTAGTTCTTCATCTGGATGGATTCCTAAATGGCCCCAGCACAAAGTGTGGGCTATAATTGTCTCTGCCTCTCCATATCCTTCCTTGCCCAACTAGGAAAGAACATGTAGTTAATAGAGAAACAGTTCCATAATTTGCTGCATTTTGTTTCAACCTTCAGCATTTGATTCACACTGCTTGTGAACAGATTAGTTGTAACCTTGTGTAAGAAACATTTACAACAATTACAAAGAAACATTTCCTTCGATGTAATTTGAAAGATTCATTCTGTTTTTTTTTTTTTTTTTTTCTGTTGGATGCTGTGGTAATTCACCACTGAATTTTGTTGTTGTTCCTTAGAGAAAGCCAGTAGTGCTGACAGGACTGGAACTGGGCACTTGCACCACCAAATGGACAACTGATTACTTGAGCCAAGCTGAAGGATCTAAAGAAGTAAAGATTCATGTTTCTGCAGTGCCACAGATGGATTTCCTCAGTAAGAACTTTGTGTATAGGTACTTCACTCCAAAGCCTCTTACATTTTAAAGGCATGTGCTTGTAACTTACAGACACAGTGCATCTGTTTGGAGCTGAGGGTGGGAATGGGAAGATAGTTTGTGAAAACATTACATTATGTGTCAAAGGGTTGTCCTGGGTTTCTCCCTCTTCTGTTAATTCTACAGCCTGAATAAACACAATGAGGGTGAAATGAGGGGCCAAACAGCACCTTTAAAATGGTGTCATGAAGTGTTGCAAAGGTATTTTGTCAGAGCACTGTTTTAGGAAATTTGAGTATGGCATTTGCAGATGTTCATTAAAAACAAACCAAACCACTCTTGATATCTATGCTTGATAGCCTGGTATTTGTTGTAGTTATGTGGTGCATTCTCAGTGTTATTGAATAGTGGCAATTTCTGACTCACTGTGTGTCTGATCCCCTTTGAATGCTGGTGTGTGTGTGCCAGCCACGGTATTCCACTCCAGAAAGGGTGTAACTAGTTAAATCCAAGCTCCTTTCAAAGTTACCATATGCAGCTTTCAGAATGCTCAGACCACTGGATACCACACATTTCACCAGCTCTTCAATCTTGATGTGGGCCACAAAAAACCTTGATCTCCTCTGGAGCTTCTCTTATGTAACTGCCAGAACATTTCTTCAGAGTTCATCTAGTCTGAGTCATTGGATTGTCTTCAAGGGTCAACGCCTTAATTTTAGCAGTTTTTGTTTTCCCCAGGTGGGAACAGGATGCACTCAGTGTGTTAAACTTCTAAGCAGGTGGGAGCATACGCTGTAAACAAGCCACAAGTCAGAGTGGAGCCTGTTGTTCAGGGAATAAACACCAATTACAACCATGATGCATTCTGCTCACTGCATAATGAACTACTGAATCTCTGAAATTAGGGAGAACTTGAATAACTTTGCCTTATCTCCATTCTTCATACTCCCTGCTCTGTTCTAGGTTTTTTTAAGTATACCTTGCTGTGAGTTCACATACAGTTGTTCTGAAGTCTTAGCTTTAGCAAGTTTGTAGACAACCAAATGGACTCTCTGATGCTCTGATCGTGTTTCATTAAAGCAGGTGTCAGGACTTTCACATACTTCACTTGAAATTCAGGAAACTTTGACTTTTTCCACAGCAAGTCCCTCATGCTAATCTGAAGGGACAGTAAGTAGAAACGAAAGAATAGAAACTCTGAGGACTCAACATGCAGTTCCATTAGTTTAAACTGGTGAACATTAGTACTACTGCAGTTCTGTTGTGAGTTGCATGCTCCTAGCCCTGTTTTTGTGTTGGTTCTGGAACTCATCCAGCCAGGTTGTGATGTGCTGCAGAAATCTGAATGGTTTTTTGCTGTTTTAGCTTTGTAAGCAGGTTCACATGGGGGTCAGATGAGTGCCAGTGCTACTGTAAGGGGGGAGATGGGGTGATGAGGGCAGATAGCAAGGGCAGAGCTGTGGTAGCACCAAAATGCATCAGTTTAAGCTGTAGTGAAAGCTGTGCTCTTTCTTCAGCAGCAGACATGATAGAACAGTTTGCCTGAAGTCAGAGCATTGGGTTTTGTTTGGTTTTCCATTGACTTCAGTGGGTTTTGTATTTGCCTATTCCAAGCAAGCCTAAAATGTTTAGAGAACTGGTTTAAGTATTGTCAGATGCAGGTTCACATTCTAGTAGAAAAGATAACAGCATCAAGAAAAATCTTGCTTGAGAATGGTTTCTTCTTAACCCTGGGTACTTGGTGGTTGCTGTGAAATGATATTTACATGCAATAGTTAATTATCCTACACTTAGTGTGAGATGGTGAGCTGCATGAATGTAACATTGAATTCATAATAATGAATGCATGTCCTGTTGCTGATTGTGTTTGGTTTGCCATTCAGCTATCAATTGATACCAAAATCTGTAATCTGCATGAAAAGCCCCCATTATGTAGATAAATATGTAACACACTTGCTGACTTCAAAGGAACCAGCTCTAAATGCCCAGTTACTCTTCTTGAATCTTCTGAAGCTGTGTTTAGTACATTTAAGGAAAACTGCAAAGAAACATTAGAAATATTGAGATGCCTGTGTTTTGAGGAGCTGAGAAAGCATATATTTAAAAAAAATCCACATAACTGAAATAAATTTTATAGATGTACAAATGAAGGTAATTACCTGTATTCCTGCACAAATTCATAGCAGAAAATGCATAGATACAAACATGCATCTTCCCTGCTAGAGTTTTCTTGATGCTGAGCTTTAATAAAATTTATAAAAAGGTACAGTAAACAAGCCTAAAAATGACACACCTAAACAGTTAAGCAAGTATTGCCACAGTTTGAGTCTTAATTTGACTGTGGAAAATGTTTTGTTCTGTGACTCAGACCATTCAGAACTCCTAAACTCAAGAGGGGATCTCAACAAAGTGAATGAACAGTTGATGGAGCCAGATTCTCTGTGGTCCATGGTGACAGGACAAGAGGCCATGGGCACAAGCTGAAATACAGGAAGTTCTGTCAACCCCTTTAACACACACAGACACACTTTTACAACCAGGTTACTCAAACAGTGGGACAAATGCAACATGTTTCCTAGAGAGATTATGGAGTCTCCATCCTTGGAGATCCATGAAACAGAACTGGATGCTGTCCTGTGCAAGCTGCTGTAGTGAACCCTGCTCTTTGCAAGGGGCTTGGGCTGGAGGAGCTCCAAGGGTGCTTCCAGCCTCAGCTACTACAGGATTGTTCGGATATACACTGGAACAAGTCACTAAAACAGAAGTTTCTAAGAGTAGGATTTCTGTCTTGGGAGAACTCTTCAAACACCTGCTGCAAACACTGATTAGTCATCATATTATTTAAAAAAAATAAGAGAGCAGCCTATTGCATCTGCCATTGCACTTGATATGGTAAGGGAGCTTATTATAAATGTAGAGTTTAGACTGCGTGTTGTTACACTGACTCATGATATAAATTCAAATATTTCTATTTCAGAACTCTGCCTTTTGATTCATTTGTGCAAAGAGCAGCTGAAGTCAAGCATAAAGAGTACTTTCTTACTGAGGTAATTTCCTTAGTGTCACAGTTTCTTCTGTTGGTTATTTTGCTGGTATTTGGAGAAAAGTGATGAACTGTAATTTAAAGTCTTACTTCAGGAAAAGACTTGATCTTAAATTTAACTTTCTTGTGTGTGGATGCCAAAGGAAAACACATGAGAAGTAATTCTCAGAAGTTTTTTTTGCATGTCTACAGTGTGGTTAACTTCAGTCATCCTGTTTCTCTTAACAAAAAACTGCTTACGTGAGCAAAAATTCCAGTATGAAATTTAGAAATCAAACCTTGCTTTAGAATAATAACCATATAATTTGTGTGGTTTGCAAGAAAATGTCATGAAGATATTTAGAATTTGATGACTATTAAAATACAAATCCAGATATATTGTAACATAATTTGTGAGTAGCAAATGTGTGATTATCTCTACTTATCATTGTTCAGCCTAAGTATTTTTCAGATAACTGTGATTAGGAAGCAAATAGTTTTGAATAGAGACATGCTTTTTTACCTTTTATGCTGCATAGGTTGCTGTAAATTTTGAAGGCAATAAAATAATTTTCTGCATCAATATGTTGAAGAACTTAAATTATAATCAGCATTTACTTTGAGTCTGCTCAGTAATAGCAATACTGAAGCAGTTAACCAGTCTCCCCACACTTTATTTACTCTTCTCTTTTCAGTTAATTTATTTTTCCCTTTTGTCAAGATGAGCTGCAGGGATCTGTTGTCATTATATTACAAAGGTTTATTGTCATTACAGTGTAAGGGTTCCATATTGCTAGAGTTTCATACCTGATTGATGTTTCTGGTAGGCAGCTCCTCTAAGTACTGACTCTTCCTTGTCCTCGCAGCAGCCAACTGACTCCTGTTCCCACCAATCCACTCTTTTATAACACTCTTCTTATTGGCTACAGGTGTGGCATGTTAAAATCAGGTCTGCTCCTAATCCTTACTATTTGGCTCAGCTGCAACTCTTTAGGGGGTAAGATTACATTCTATACCACCTTTATTTACTCATCCTGTATCCCTCTACAGGGATCAGTAAATGGCAGTATAACAAAGTAGCTGAATTTGTAAATGACCTTTATTTGTACCATATTTTCATGAAATTCTGCATTAGATAAATGAGAAAATATAAGCTCTCTATTTATGTATTTTGGTAATTCTTATTAAAAAACCCCAAATAATTCTCTTTTTGTGTTCACTTAAGGATGAAAAGTACTATTTGCGATCAGTGGGTGAAGATGTTAGGAAGGTAAGTTACTGGAGATTACAGGTCTAATATTGTAAAGTTGCAGTTTAGAAATATTTTTTAAAGTCTGTTGTCATACAACTTACTTAGGGTCACATGGTTTGTGAATCTGACTGGATTTAGGTCAGAGTACTTTAATGTGTCTAGAATAGTTGCTGTTGCATGGGAGCTGAGCTGGCCACTGAAGAGTACATTGCTAAACTGCCTTTCTTTAGCTTTTGTTGTAAACTAATGTAAAAGGATTTATGCTGATCAATTGCTCCTGCAGTGTGAATCCTAGCAGCCATGGTTAAGAGAAGCTCTCTGGCTGTTCTTATTAATGGCATTTGGCAAGTCAGTGCTGAAAAACATTGCTGATTTCAGGTTTTTGCCAATGCTGAAGTTCTAACTCCATTTCACGTGATTGGAAATGATTGTGAAGTGCTCCCCCATTTAAATGCGCATAGATGGTTCTCTCTCTATGCCCTTTCTGTTTCAGGATATTGCAGATATCAGGAAGCAGTTTCCTACTTTAGCAGAAGATGTTCATATTCCAGAGTATTTTGAGAAGGAACAGTTTTTCTCTAGTGTCTTCCGCATCAGCTCAGCTGGATTACAGTTATGGACACATTATGATGTAGGTAATACATGGGTTTAGCATAAAATGTTGCAGATGGCATTACAGAATTGAGAGGATAAGGTGAAAATCTCTGTCAAAGATTAGAGAATAATAACAAACTTCGCATATTTTGAAACAGTAAAATGAACCACATTCTGTGGTGAGTTTTAAATGTTGCATTGCTTAGGCATAATATCTTAACTGGGTTTATGTCAAATGCCAGATTTGCAAGATTAAAGGATGTTTTATTTTGTTTCCCTTTTTTAAACTGTTTTGAGTTTTAGTAGAAAATCTGAAATACAGTAACTTTAAACACTTTTGTCTTCAACATTGCTTTCCTTTTTTTTTTTTCACTGTAATGGCCAGATTAGGATAAATTCTAGTTGTACAATACATTGCCAACTGTGCAATGCTTGTAGTGGTTTCTGGCTCCAATGCAATAGATTCCAAATAAGGTTGTCTTCTAACACTGTGCAGTGAGTTCTGAATAAATTTATTTATAAGATAATTCTTAACATGTGAAGGTTTTATTAATATTCTTTTTTAAGCTAATAATTACATCAGTTGAAGTCTGTATATTTATTCAATCAACTTTTGGCTGACATCTCTATTATTACACTCATCCCAGGTGATGGACAACTTCTTAATCCAAGTCACAGGGAGAAAAAGAGTTGTTTTGTACAGTCCTCGAGATGCACCGTATTTATATTTATCAGGTATGCATGTCACGGGTATCTAGATTGGAGTTTGGTGATCTTAGCTTTTCAGCTCACAACTGTTGCACTGTAGAAAATAATCACTAACAGATGACTCGCTATAAAAGAATATAATTTGTTCCTTTAACTCTGATTCTTTGTGCTTTAGTCAAAGCTAAGGAAAACAGCAGCTTTGCCTGATTATTTTCAACACCTAACTGAAGGAGTAAAATGTTCTGTCTGGGTTCAAAATAGTTTTTTAGATTTCAGGAAAAGGGGGTTTTAGTGTTAATAAGGTTGCAGTTACAGAACAAGTACAGACAAGAGGAGAACACCTTTTCAATAAATGAGGGCTGCCATCAGGTTTTCTTGGTTTTGAGAAATAAACCAGGACTAAATTTGATTCAAGAACTGCCATCTCCAGCAATATGATAATGCTTTGTTACTATTGGAAGAGTGGGACTATTTATTCACTGAAATTTTCCTAGGTACTAAATCAGAGGTACTGGATGTGGATAACCCAGACATGGAGAAATATCCCCTTTTTGTGAAAGCCAAGCGCTATGAGTGTGTTTTGGAAGCAGGAGATGTGTTATTTATTCCAGGTAAGCAGTAAATAGTTCCTGACCATGGCATGGTATTAAACAGTCTTGTTTCTAATTTATGATTTCTGGAGATGGTAAGAGATTGTTAAAGCATTTCTCTGTTATAAGTAGGAGCATTGAAAGCCAATGTTGGCAAAACTAATTTACTTCTTCCAACTGTTCAATTAACCTGAAAAACAGTATTATTATATCTACCTACAAATCTTACTTTCCCTCAAGTGTATGCTCTATGCTCCTGAATTTGTGTCTTAATAGATTAATACTATAAACTTAACTTCTGAAATCTGAAATTACTTCAGTGACCTGAGTTTTTTAGTGACAGAATTTGAGTGAAATAAAATTTCTGTTCTTCTGTAGCTCTGGCACTTGAGGCACATGGTCTGATGAGAATTATGGATGGTAAAGTTATTGGACCTTCTAAAGGTTAATAATCATCTTTGGGGAATGGAAACACAAGTCTTAATAATTTTTCTGCACAAGCAGAAAACTGCTTCCTGGGCTGACATGACAAATTCTGGTAGTCAGGAAAAGGCGTTTGAATTACTCCTACTGACTCCTCCTTGTTACTGATTTTATTTTAACTCCTTGTGAGCTTGCAGTAGATATGACTTACCCTGTCACTTTTACATCATCAGGTCAGTCAACAAGAAGGTAGTAAGTTTTTAGGAAGTTATTTTATAATAGTTTCTTAGCCTTTGACTTGTTACTTAATTTTGAACTTACCTTTGTTTCTTCCTGAATAAACTTTTGGTTACAGTTAGACAGTTATATGTCACTCTGCTGCTGATGTCAGCGTCCCTGTTTTCTGTTTATGAAGTCCAGATACTCGTTTGCCTTTGCCAGTGGGTGAGCGGAGTCAAACTTGAGTCACATTCAGCTCTCTTAAGACTGACTGGGGAGTATTGGGGTTTTTGAGTTCAGAGAATGGTGCTTTGTCAGCATCCTGCAGTGCATATCACTGAAAAAGAACGTGTTTTTGGAGGAATGTGTGTGGTTATTATGAAGAAGGTAGAAGCAGTTTCTCTTCCTAACCTGGAAGAAACTTCATGTTTATTTCTCAGAATAAACTTTTCTATGTCTTCAGCACCTACAGGCAAATAAGATGCAATAAACACAGCATTCAGACTTTTACCTTAAAATACACATATCCTAAATATACCATATTAAACTGATTCTTTAAATGTACTCAATGAAGCAAAGATATCTTGGCTTCCTTACCACAGTCACGATGATTCAGCTGAACAACCTCATGCCTTCATTATGAGAAGATTAGCAACTTTGCCTGGGTGAGCTGGCTGATGCTGGTGGTTTAGATTAATGCCTGGACAGCATGTGCAAGGTTAGGGACTAAGTGAAAATAGATACCTGCATTTAGAGTGGAGGAGAGCAAGGGAAGGTGTCTTTCTTTCACCCTATGCTTATCTTTTGCTTACATTTGAGTACCTGTGTGCTTCAGCAACTGTTACTTTTATAAGAAGTTATGGATCAGCATAAATGTCCTGAAAAACTTCTTAAATTTGGTACAATGCAATACATTCACATGGATGTTTATAAATAAAGAAAAATACAGTAGTTGAGGCTTTTCCTTAACTAGATTTAGTTTGGGCAATTCTGACACTTGTTTGGAGTCACATGGAAGTTTTGGACAGTAATTTTTATTTTAGGCACTGTTCTTTCTACAGCTTTGTGGTTCCATAATGTAATTTCTGAGGAATTTGGAGTGGCACTGAATGTCTTTTGGAAGCACCTTCCTGCTGAGTCCTATGATAAGACTGACACTTATGGAAATAAAGATCCCATGGCAGCCTCTAGAGCTATACAGATCTTGGACAGAGCCTTGAAAACACTTGAAGAACTACCTGAGGAATACAGGGATTTTTATGCTCGGAGAATGGTGTTACGGATCCAAGAAAAGGCCTACAGGAATGATTATGGATAAAGCAACACACTGCAATTCAGCAAGGTTCCTTGCAAGTAGAAAATTGTATGTTAGTATGGAAACTCTCCATCTGTACTTACATCCACTTGTTGTGAGACCAATAAAAACTGTCAATAAACATTCTTTTATAACAAAATTCCTCTTGTAGATTTTGTTCCTAGTTTTTCATGTGCAATCACAGTCTGCTTGATCTGGAGATGGTCTCTTTTCTATAACGAGACAGACATTTGCAGTGCCTCTACTTATAACTGTACTTTTTTGGAACACTCTACTTAAATTTTTCCGAACAAAAGTTTTGGTATGTGGGCTGACAGCATGTATGCTTAGAAGTAACTGCGCATATTTGTGAATGCAGCCTCATTAAATTTTAGCAAAGCCATAGTGGTTTCTGAGGAGGTCCAAGCAAGCCATTGGTGGTAGCTGTAATGCTCATGGTTTCTTTTTAAGTGATAACCTGGCAATTAGTGTAGGGAGTTTCTTCTTCCCCCTTGTAGTGAGACAGAGTGCGTATGAGAAAAAAAGCAAAAACTAGCCATGCCAGATTACACTTAGAATTGTGCAGCAGCTTGAGTGCAATGTAAATGATTTACCCTTTTCCTAGCTCAGTAGTGTGTCACTGGGGGGAATATCTTCTTTGTCACTGCCTGAGTGCAGTCAGACAGCATTGCTGTTCCTGCAGCTGTGAAACACTTGGCACTAATGAGCCCACAAATCCATTCAGACACAGTCCTGCTACCTGCAATGGAGTTCATAGTTGTGGAGTAGACACAAAACCTGTTTGGGCTGTTTTGTTATCATATGAAAGGGGGTTTGCATAGCACCTTTTGGGATGGAGCCTGCTGTTTAGGCATTGTAGGTTACTTTTTCAGCAGATGGTAGTACAAAAGCCCTGTGAAATAAAGGTGGGGATCTGACAAAGAGGATAGGCTAGGCATTGTTTCTTTGAAACACCTCTGATGTTACTACTTGTGCTGTTTGGGGAATGCAGCATTTATCTGACTTAGGTCAGTCTGTTACTTCTAGCAACGTTTTTTGAGAATTGTAACTTGTCAAAAGCTCTTAGACAAAATAAATGTGTAGTGTTAAAAAAGTGCTGGAAAAAAGCTTTCTTCAGAAGAGCAGGAGCTTGAACACTGTGCAGATTATTCTTCTAAACCTGTTCCTCTTGGCAGTTCAACACAGTGAAAATAGTCTGGTACCATGTGAATGGGCACCCGGCCACCTCAATGAATAAGCATGAATGGAACCAGCCAAGCGATTCTGACGGGCATCATTGTACGTTCTGAGGGTAGAATTTCAATTTGGGATCACAAATAGGTCTCCCAAAATTTTTGTTCAGAAAGGAACAAGGATTGCTTGTGCATACTGCTGAGACAGAATCTCTCTGCCCGTTAGGCTGGGGTAACCTCTTGGCTTTGTTGGCTTGGTAATGTCGAGGGCCCAGTCTGAATTGCAGAGGTGAACAGAGCATATTCTTTGTGTGTTAGGACTGAATTGAGAGGTTTAGAGAGCCTGCAGGGCTCAAGAAAGCTGTGTTCCAGCATTGTGCCTGCACAGCCATCATTCTAGCTGCCAGCAGCCTCTCAAGGTACTGGTACAGAGAATGACTGTGCTGATTGTGTGCCTCCTGCCATTCCTTGGGTCTCCATTCACAAAAGGGAGGTGGGCAGCTTGGTATTCTCAAGCCCCCTCAACACTCAAGTGTAAATTTTATCTTCATGCTGCCAACTTTTGCATTTGCAGAGATCTGACTAAATCAGTCTCAGATGGAAAGAAGTTTATCAAACTTTTTAGTATTTTAGACTCATACAAAATAAAATTATTTCAGTCATCTGGACAAGTTCATAGACTCAAGCCTTGCTTTAAAAAGAATTTAGCAGTTTACAGTTTAGTACATGTTAGCATGTCTCAAAATGTACCAGAAATAAGGATGTAATACAAGAACACCAGTCATTACTAGGTTGTGCTACGGACTGTGTAAAGTTGCGCACTCCATTAGAAAACAGAAGTGTCTTGAACTACAGCACTATTAGCAGGAGAGTCACCTAACTCTAGGCACTTACATCTAAGCTTATTAAAAACTGCCTTTAAAGTTAATGTTGAAAAATGGGCATATGCAAACTATGACCCATTTTATCCTAACACAGAAATGTCCCACCCTTGACTTCTTCATGCCAGCTTTCCTGTGTTTGTGAGATGCCAGAAAGCTGTTTTAAAATTATGGATGCTGACTACACAAATACAAAGCTTCCTTGAAGACAAGTCATCAAATAAATCTGATTTTTTAAACTAGGTCTCCACAAACACCTGCTAAAACTTAATCCACAAAACTGCACATTCCTTGTTTAATGGTTTTATACTCACATCAAAGTGGTTTCACCCATTAGAAATAGTTTATTTTCTACATAGTTTGCAAAATTTATTTTTAGCATGCATTGTAATGAATGACAGAGGCACATTCCAACAGAGTACTACAGCTGTTTAAAGAATGAAAAACAACCAGTCAGTTTTCCCTCCACAACACGAGGTCTCATAACAAGATTAGTTTTACAACAAAGTGCCTATTCTTCAAAGTAATGCAGCAACACTTGAGCCTATTTAACAGTTATTGTAGGCAGCCTCCATCAAACAGGTTAGTATTATTTTAACAGGACAGCCATCCAGAAACTTTTGAAGACAATGTCAATATTTTAATAGCTATTTCCAAAAGCTTGCAGCAACGTAGTTTTGATGTTTTGGCAGGCACAGAATTGTTTAGAAATTGGTCTGTGATCTGCAGTGTTATTAGATTGGGCAAGTGTTAGCACACCCAACTTAGCCTAGTCAGTCTAAAACTGAGGGAGCAAAAGCAATAGAAAATTCTGGGGTTTTTGTTGGTTTACTTTTAAAAATACTATTTTGTAAGGGGATGGTTAAATATATTTCAAGACATTTGCAGGCTTTCTATTAAAACCACTTCTTTAGGTGACCCATATTTCCTTTACAGAAAAATTCCTCACATATGCTGTATGCTGCAAATATTATCAAAAGGACCATAAAGGGAAAAAATGTTCCTTGAAACAAATTAAGAAGTTGTTATAAGCCTATTAAGATGGTAATCAACAAATAGGATTGAATGTAATCTCCAAGAAACAGCCTAAAATAAAAAAGCAGATGGAACTAAATTTCAGGTTCTTTAGAGTTTGTTCGCATATTGCACTTTTCTCCATCAATTAAACCAGATTTCTTTTGATGAACTAGGTACATTAATCTAATTATCAGTGATAGAGTTCTCTTTCAAATTGTAAGGTGCACACTGCATGCATAATCCTTTGTATCACCCTTAATCTTTTGAGTGTTAAGAAAATTTTCTTAGGAGTACAACACACTTTTCTTATTATTCAGTGATCACTGATGTGCACAATTTCTGCCAAAAGATGTCTACAGGGAACCTTATAAGTTTTAATGATGCCAATAGAAGAAACTTCCTTTCCACAGTGTAAGAGTCATGGGAAACAAGGAGCAGGGCAGAGATGTCACTAAGCCATCAAACATACAGCCAAAGTTGAATAAAATGCCTTTTTTCAGAACTTAGCCACAATTGTTTGTGTAATCTTCACAGAGGTTTGCTAACTTGCTTTTGTATTCCTATACTTCCAGGAAATCCAAAACCATTTGGAGTTACTGGTTCATTGTTAATAGTTGCAGTTGTCTTTAAGGATGATTTTAAGCTTTGTAGCTAAATGGGAAATTACTTGCAACAGTAGAAAAGTTCCATTAATACCATCATTGTCCATCTTTCAGTATATCTTTCTTAAGTACACTCAGGTTTGGTGTCTGAACCAGATGACATATTTTGTATCAAATCTGGCTGGCTTTTTATTTAGAGGGGCTTTTTTCTGCAGGAAAAAATAGGCTCCAAAAAGAAGGTTTTTGGATGGCTCTAGAAGCAACTACTACAGTACATTTAAAGGAGATAACAGATTTTAAAACTGAGGCATTTTGAAAGAGCTACACTCAAGACAGTCTGAATTTTTTTACTGCAACTTGTAATAGATTATGTGCTTATGGTTTGATTAAGAGCAACATCAATGCAGCAATTACCAAGTACAACCTTGCCATCCCAAGGTAGGGACATCACCCCTTGAAGTGATAACAAAGGTATCACTGCTGGTCCTTACAGAAGTTAGCAAAGCAACAGCAAGGCATCTTGAAGCACGGAACAAGCTACACCCTAATCAACATTCCTGGTTACTTAACATAGCTACATCACAATTTTCAAACCCCCAGGTGAAATGGCTGTTCACTAGCAGATACTACACAATTCATTCATCAAACTTCAGAGTGACAGAAATGGCGAGGCGCACATAAGGAAGAGAAATGTATTGGCACTATTATTCCAAAGGTGAGTATTTGTGACTTTGTTTCAAACAGGAAAAATGTCACAAAACTGGAAGATTTAATTACCTAATAAAACAAGTCTCCACAAAATATATAACTAACATTCTTCTTACAATCAAGTTCCTTAAGCCAAAAAACTAACCTTACATCTGTTATTGACAAAGAGCAATAATTTTAGCCCTGGAAGCACTCAACTGAAGTATCGACACATCTGAAATTCCCAAGTACTTTATAGTCCCATTAAATGCAGTATATATTAGACATCCAGGACTAAAAATTCTGCCAACAGTTTAGGAATAAATATTCACATTTAACAAAAAAACATGCATAGGATTGTTCTTCATAACACTTTTTCCCAGGAATCATAAATCAACATCTGTTATAGTTATGGGATCCCAATAAGCCTTTTTATGCTACAGAAATTTATATATAGCATCTATTAGCAACACAGAACTGATTTAGTATTCTGTTTAGAAAGCATCTGCTCAAAGCTGAAAATCTAGATGACAACATTTACAGTGTTAAAAGTGGTTCTACAAAGAATATATTGTTCATATATATACAGTCTCAAAATACTTCATGAACTCTGAAGTGGTTGTCTAAGGAGGGAACTTCATCAGCAAAATGCAGTTGATCATTTATTTCCACACCAAATTCTTCAAGTATGTGTACAAATTTCTCATGCTCTCTCCCAATCCATGACCTCATTGTGTCAAACACTTGGTAAGGTGTAACGTGAGCATGAACTTTAATTCC